ACATGACTGGTTAGCTGCTTGCCTGATTACAGGCCAGCCTGAATATAGCTCATACTGTAAAGGTGCATTTCTAATTTCTACTGTCTTACTTTGTGGGCACAGTATTGGTGGTCTGAGTTGAACTTCACATTTTCTGGGTGTGTTCTCTTTAAAGCTACCATATTCATGATATAAGATTGCTGTGATACTATTATGTGAAGGACAACATGAAAGGTAACTAATACTGTTCTTTGCTTCCGTCTGAGTCACTCCCTAGTTTTTTCTGATTTCCTGCCCATCTGAAGTATTTCTGTCTGGACTTGAGACAATAAAGGGATCTCTTTGTTGCCATGTTCTTGAGTATTTGGTTAACGCCCTGCATTTGGTCTGTGTCTTGTAAGGATATCTGCAGTCATGTTTGAACGAGCTGCCTTCTGCCCATTTAGATTACTATGATCAAGTGAACAATTTTAACAGTGCTAAGTGAATATTTTTGCTTCCCCATGCCAGCTTTCTCCTTTCATCTGAAAGAAATTGACTTCTCAATGCAGCAATGCTTCAAAGTCACTGATCCTCTCTGGTTCTCTGGGACTTCAATAGTCAAGTGACAGTTGTTAGTAATATTTGTGTGAGCACAAAGGTAAACTGACACTCCAGTGCAAGACTGAGGGAATCCTGGTGAAGGGTACCAACCCGAAGCGTTGACTTTCCTGCTCCTCTGCTACTGCCTGACCTGCTGTGTATCTCCAGCTCCACACTGTATTGACAATACCTAGGGAATGTTGTACTGTCAAAGACCTGAGACCTTGTCTGCTCTCTCTAGTGGATGCAAAAGCTCTAGTACTACCTTGAAGAGGATTAGATACTGGTTCTCTCCAGTATCTAATCCCAGATCCATTTCCTGACCAGCATCACTATTGGGGATGATCTGGACATTCTCGCATTGGGAGCTTGCTGTGCACAAATTGGCAGCTGTGTGCCCTATATTACAACAGTGACTTCACTTCAAAAAGTATTTTGTTGATTGTAAAGTGCTTTAGGACATCATGAGATTATGACTATATAAATGCAAAGTTTTCTTTAGTGAGGGTGTTACAGATATGAATTTTGTAAAATTATGGGACTATCTTTATAATGTAAGGCAAAATGGAGGGATGAAGATGATCATGTGATCTGCTCTGGGGTGTAGTTTGTCTGATCCAGGTGATTTATCCACGTTCAGACCTTTAAGCTTCCCCAGCACCACCACCTCAGTGATGGCCACTACACTCACCTCTGCCTCCTGATTCTCTTGAAGTTCTGGTATGCTGCTGGTGTCTTCCATTGTGAAGGCTGATGCAAAGTACCTGTTCAGTTCCTCCCCTATTTCTTTGTTCCTGATTAATACTTCTCCAGCCTTATTTTCCGACGGTCCAATGTTCCCTCTTGCTTCTCTGTTACTTTTTAATTTTTTAAAAAAAATCTCTTGCAGTCCTCTTTTATATTACTAGCCAGCTTACCCTCATATTTCATCTTCTCCCCCCAGTTGCTTTTCTAGTTAACCTGCGCTGGTTTTTAAAGGCTTCCCATTAATCTTCACCAGATTGTATGCTTTTTCTTTTGCTTTTATGCTGTCCTTAACTTCCCTTGTCAGCCACAATATGTTTTTTCTTCCTTGAGATGAATTTCTGCTGTGCCTCCAAAATTACCCCACAAACTCCTGCCATTTAACGCTCCACTGTTTTCCCTGCTAGACTCCCCTTACAATCAACTCTGGCCAGCTCCTCCCTCATGTCTTTTTAGTTATTTTTGCACAATTGTTAGGCTGTTACATCTGAGTCCAGCTTCTCTCTCTCAAACTATACCATGAATGCTATCATATGTTAGAATTATTATCCTTCCAATAGGCAATAAGGAATTTTAATATTTTTCAAAATGTTATTACATCTTTGTTATTGGTCTCCACTAAGATTGTAACATGCATCAATGCACTATTCAAATGCAAGGAGCATCAAAGCCAGGTTTCTTGATCTTGCCGCCATCCACACATAAGCACATCAAGCAGTAATCATAGAAAATCGAACATAGCACTGTACAATACAAGAACAGGCATTTCGGCCCACCATGTGTGCACTGACCATGATGCCATTCCGAAATAATCCCATCTGCCTGCACGTGGTCTGTATCCCACTATTCCCTGTCTGTTGATCTGTCTGTCTCGACGATTCTTAAACATTGCTAACATGTCTGCTTCTACCACCTCCCCTGGCAGCAAATTCCAAGCACCTACCACCCTCTATGGAAAGAAAAATGTGCCTCATATATCTCTTTTAAACACTCCCCCTCTCACCTTAAACCTATGCACCTCATATTTTTCAGCCTGGGAATAAGACTCTAATAATCCAGCCTATCCATGCCTCTCATAATTTTATATACTTCTTTCAGGTCACCCCTTAGCCTCTGATGCCCTAGTGAACACAATCCAAGTTTGTCCAACCTCTCCTTATTGCCAAAACACTCCAATCCAGACAACATCCTGGTTAACCTTTCTTGCATTCTCTCCAAAGCCTCCACATCCTTCATTTAGTGTGGTGACCAGAACTACACACAATACTCCAAATGTGGCCAAATTAAAGTTTTATACAGCTGCAACATGACTTGCCACCTTTTATACTCAATGAAGGCAAGCATGCCGTATGTTTTCTTTACCACCTTGTCCACTTGAGGTGCCACTTTCAAGAGGCAATGGACTTACACCCCAGGATTCTTCTGTATATCAATGCTCCTAAGGATCCTGCCATTTACTGCATACTTTGATCTTGCATTTGACCTCCCAAAATGCATCACCTCACACTTATGTAGTTTTAACTCCTTCTGCCATTTCTTTGGCCAAATTTCCAACTGATATATATCCTGCTGTATCCTTTGATAACCTTCCTCACTATCCACAACTCCACCAATTTTCATGTCATGTGTGAACTTATTAATCAAGTCACCTATATTTTCAACAAAATCATTTATATATTACAAACAAGAGGTCCCAGCACCAATCCTTGTGGAACACCACTGATCACAGACTTCCAGTCAGAAAAGCACCCCTCCACAACTACCCTCTGTCTTCTATGACCAAGCCAATTTTGTATCCAACTTGCCGACTGACCATGGATGCCATGTGACTTAATCTTCTGGACTAGCCTATCATGAGGGACCGTGTCAAATGCTTTGGTCCATATAGACAACATCAACTGCCCTCCCCTCATCAATCATCTTTGTTACTTCCTCAAGAAAACTCAATCAACAGAACTCTGGCAATTCTTCTCTCTGATCCAAAGGTTTCAAGGTCAGTCTTAGTATCCTGGCTGACTTATCTAAATAAACACAGGGAGAAACGTTTATGAGACAATGCTGACAGAGTTAGAGGAGGAGTGTATGAGGTGGCACGGTGACTCAGTGGATAGCACTGTTGCCTCACAGCGCCAGGGACCCGGGTTCAATTCCACCCTTAGGCGACTGTCTGTGTGGAGTTTGCACATTCTCCCTGTATCTGTGTGGGCTTTCTCCAGGTGCTCCAGTTTTCTCCCACAGTCCAAAGATGTGCAGGCTAGGTGGATTGGCCATGCTAAATTGCCCGTAGTGTTTAGGGACGTGTAGATTAGAGTTATAGGGGGATGGGTCTGGGTGGGATGCTGTAAGGGTCAATGTGGACTTGTTGGGCCGAAGGGCTTGTTTATACAGTGTAGGGATTCTTTGATCTATTCGATGATGAGTAGGAGGAGACTTGAGTGCAGCACAAACACCAACATAGACTAGTTGTGCCAAGTGGCCCGTTTCTGTGCTGTACTTTCTATCTAGTATTTTTACATAGTTAGACCTGAAATTACAATTACGCCTCTTCTTTATGACGTATTGTCCAACTACAGTCATTTCAAGAATCTTCAAAATTACCACAAGTACCTTATGAATCATTTCACATTTTGGAAAATCTTCAAAAACAATTAAAATTCTGCTTGAAACTGCAAGTGTAGCATAAAGTTCTGTCCTTGCAATGGGTATTGAAGTCTTTTAATGTTGTTCAAACAACCTTAGACTGCACACTACAAAGTTTCACTGAATTGTTACAGTGCAGCAGGAAACAATTTGGCCCATGATATCTGCAACAGTTCTCTGAAAATTCTGACATAGTGCCAATCTCCTGCCTTACCCCCAAACCCCCTGTGCGTTATTTCTCATTAAGTAATCATGCATTGAATACCTCAATTGGACCTGCCTCTACCCAACTTCTAGGCAGTGCCTTCCAAATCCAGATCACTTGCTGTGTGAAAAAGTTTCTTTTCTCTTGTTGTATTTGCAAAATACTTTAAAACTGTACTCTCAGCTTCTTCCTATCTACCCTATAGACCTGTCATGATTTTGAACACTTCCATCAAGTCCCCTCTTTACTTTATCCTCTGCAAGGTAAAGGCACCAACTTCTCTGATCTATCCTCATTGTTGTAGTTTTTCAACCCTGAACTATTCTAGCATGCATATTCACTGGAGAACTTAAAGCATTAATCAAAGAAGAATAGAATTTTCCCAATGCCCTGGAAAATATTTTTGCTTCAATCTCAGGGCAATTTACTTATTTTCTAAAAAAAAAAGCATCTGCACTTGACTGTAATTTATCGAAGATGAAGGACTTTGATTTTGTTGCATGAGATTTGAACATTCATAGCTCCCAAAAATCACAATTCTTTATTTCACCGGCAGCAGGTTTTTACAAACATGATGAAAAATTAAGGTTAAACAAGGAAGTATTTACTTTTGGTCGAGGAATCCTTTGTTCATCTGCTCCTTCTTTCCATGAGTTCTCCTTTTACGCAAAGAAACCATTTTTTTTCAGAGTTGGTCTGTTGGACATCTCCAATTGGTCTCTCTCATCATCACCATCTATTGGTGGACGTCATGTCATGACTGCTTGAGCTCCCCTGCTCAGTGTCTTCCCTCACAGACGCCATCCGCTACTGGAAGTTCTGTCACACAGCTGTATCCGAGAGACTTGAGGAGATATTGTGAAATGAAAATCTTTCTTGAGCTCTGTTTGAGTCCATGCTCATCTATTGAGCAACTGAATCACTAGGTATTAAGTACTTCTTGTCTCTCAACTGGTTTCTTTAAAGAGATACTGTACTTAGCTTCAATGCCCCTGGGTTGTGGAGGAGAATATTAGCCAGGTTAAATATTATTTTAGAATGCCCCTTTTATTATAGAGTTCCATCAAGTTGACTGTTTCTTGGTTGGCATTAAAGTTTCCTACAAATAGGAAGAGTAAATAGGGTCTCACATTGACTGCAGTAATAAAAAGAACAGTCATGGTTCCCATTTCTCATCCACTGTTTAGTTATTACAGTTGAAAATGTGTTGCTTTTGGGTGAGGGTATGATTATGTTGGCTTTGACACTCCTACAGAATCACTCACTGCTGTTACTGACAAGTAGTTAACAGCCACTTTGACAGTGTAAAGGGTGAGACCTGTAGGATCAACACAGAGTCAACATTTTTAGAAGATGGAAAACGAGCTAGAATTGCTTTCGAAACAAAAAAAAATCATCCTCCTAAGGATGTGTTCCCAAGGTCAAAGCAAATGAGCATTTTTTATACCTGAGGCAGCTTGCAGCGTGTAATGTCAGGCCACTGTTATTTCAGATAATAAGCATAAGCAACTAATGGTGAAATGTAATTTTCCAGTGGGTCAAATGAACGCCTGAAGAAAGGTCATGAAGATAGATTGATGCTCAGCAATTTGGATGGTAGAGTCATAACCTGGAACTCCCAAATACCAAATGACACCACTTATTTAATTCTTCATTTGAATTTAGGTGTGAGATGTGTTAAAAGTAGAGATCGAGACAGTTAAGTAAGTTGTTTCATGGGCAAGTTGTAAAAATGCGTAACGTATGTTCTTTGGCAAAAAAGTAGAAGTTTGTAACTAATTAACCAATATGATTAATATCTATAATTCATCCCTTAACAGTCAACCTTGTATGCAGTAAGCTTTCATATTCACAAACACATGAATTTCATATCAATGGAAAATTTTAACTATGTAGATAAATGAAGTGAGGAGCAAAAGAGATGAGACATCAAGGGAATAAGTCTGTCATATGAGGTTCGTAATTACTAAGCTGGATCCACCCACTCTGACATCATCACAGTCAATTTACAAGCACACTTTCTACATAAAAATGCCTTGTTAAGATCTTAAGAGGTGGCAATTGTGTTTACAATTCTTTTTTCAATATCTTCATGTGCATTACCTTCTTGTCTAAATATAGCACACTTCCCAGTCGTTTCATTCCAGTTGCTATTCCTTTTGTATGAAAACTGACTGAAGGTTCCAGCCAGCAATGTGATCACATTTGGCAAATACAGGCATATCAGGAGCTGTGTGTGGATTTGGAAGGGGTTTGGAGAGAGATCCCACAGGCTTGTGGGATTGAAAGAGATTACCAGCATTGCAAATCTTAATATTATGTTGATGGATTTGAATGTTTTTATAATACTCATTAAGTCAATGCAGAAAATAGTGTTGTGACTCACAAGTTACAAGACAGATATATGGAACGAGAAAAATCTTGGCTGTCCATGCATTTCGATGTCGTGATATAACTAATGGGCAAGATGTGGACGTGTTACCCAAGAAAACCCTGCCAACACAGAGACTGAACTTAGGCATGTTGGTGTCATTAAGTTTTAACCAATTGAGTGATTAGCTCCCCTCCCCCAAAAAGGGATTTCATATGATATGAAGGTGAATTTTGTTTCCTTTTCTCTTTTCCTGCATTCAACAATGGATCCTGACTGCTATCAGCTTGGAATGTGTCTTAGCTTCTTGACTAGTCAACGTGGTTAATTTATTGACAAAATGGCGATCAAAGTAGAATATGTCACTCTAAGTAATTGGTGTTTATGAAATACTCCACTGCAGAACCATTTTTCATGTTGACACCTAAAATGGATCTGTTAAAATTGTGATAAAGACTTGTTGAGCACTCTTTATTGTTACAGCAGAATAAAAGCCCATTTTACACACCAGACAGTATTCTGTGGTCAGTGGTGAAGCAACTGTGCTCGTGTTGCCTGCCCATGAAGATTGTGAGTTCCGTGGTGTGGTTTTCACCTTTCCTGACAACAAGTTGGATCTGGCAACAAGTCAAGGGGATCTCCGGATATCAGCACTAGTGATCTCAACAGCAGATCTGGCAGCCAAATGCTGAAAAAGAGCAAAACCAGAATGCTAAAAGCATTGAATCCATTCACTTCTGATTTCAGAATTTCAAATAGTGAAATAATATAAAAATTATGATAAAAGCCAAAACGTTACACACTTTTTTAAAAGTGTGGAATTTTTAAGTCTTAATGGTGAAATCAACATCAGAAAAATAAGTTGTATGTTTATCTAAAGCAATGAGGAAGTTTCACAGTGATTGTGAGCTTAATAAGCTTCAGTTACAAGGGTTTTTACAGTGAGCAGAAGAGCACAGAGTGGAAGAATTTGCTAACACAGAAAGTTTCACTTGATTGCAGGCTGGAGATATGGGTCCAACAGCACACCGTATTGAGGAACAAAGACCCACCAACAGCAGCTTCTAGATTTCCCCTTTATTTCATGCATGTGCAGGCTTATAAATTGCTGTGACCTTCAGTGGGAAAACAGTGACAATTTTGCTGTCATTGTCATTGCAAAATGCAGCAATCACACCCACAAGTGACAGGCAATGACCATCTCCAGCAAGAGACTATCTAACCATCTCCCCTTGAATTTCAATGGCATTACCATGTGCTGAATCCCCTACTATTAGTGGGTTTTACCATTGAACAGAAACTGAACTGAGCAATTTACATAAATACCGTGGCTACAAGAGCTGGTCAATAGCTGCGACTTCAGTGGTGAATAACTCATTTCACAATTCCCCAAAGCCTGTTCACCATCTACACAGCACAAGTCAGGAGTGTGATGAATACCTTCCAGTTCCCTGGATAAGTGCAGCTCCTATGTTCCTACCATCCAGGACAAAGTAATCCACTTGATTAGCACCCCATCTACCACCTTCAACGTTCATTCCCTCCACCACTGTTGCACAGTAACACTAGTGTGTACCATCTACAAGATGCACTGCAGCAACTCACCAAGATTCATGTGACAGTATCTTTTGAATCCACAAACTCTACCGCTTAAAGGGATAAGGGCAGTAATTGCAGGTGAACAGTACAACTTGCAAACTCCCCTCCAGGTCACACACCACCCTGACTTCGAGCTCCATTGCATTCCTTCACTGTTGTTGGGTCAAAATCCTGCAAATCCATTCCTAACAGCACTGTGGGTGTCCCTGCACCTCGAGGAGTGCAGTAGTTCCTGAAGAAGGCACACAACCACCTTCCAGGGACAATTAGGGATGGGAAATAAATGCTGGCCTACATCCTGTGAGAGAGATTTTAAAAAGACATGAGGGGCAAATTTTTTTATAGACTGGCTGGTTTGTGTTTGGAATGAATGTCCTGAGGAAGTGGTGGATACGGGTACAATTAAAACCTTTAGAAGACATTTGGATAAGTACATGAACAGGAAAGTTTCGGAGGGATATGGGCCAGGAGCAGACAGGTGGGACTAGTTTAGTTTTGTTTGACATGGACTGGTTGGACCAAAGGGTCTATTTCCATGCTGTATGACTCTATGACTCTATGATATAGTCCACATAAGGCTGAGTGCACTCTGACCAGAGCCAAAGTGCTAGTCCTTTGTTTATTCACAAATCTGTGGAGGTGCCAGTGTTGGACTGGGGTGGACAAGGTCAGATGTCACACGACACCCGGTGATAGTACAACAGATTTATTTAAAATCACAAGCTTTCAGAGGCATTGCAGCAGCGCTCCAAAAGCTTGTGATTTTAAATAAACCTGTTGGACTATAACCCAGTGTTGTGTGACTTCTGACCTTATTCACACATAGGATGTGGATCTTGCAGGCATGGCCAGTATTTATCAGCCATTCCTTTTTAACTGAAGGTTTTGCCAGGCCATTTCATGGGCAGGTAGGATCCAACTACATTGCAGTGGATCTGAAGTCACATGTAGGCCTGACCAGGTAAGGAAAGCAGACTGCCTTCTGTGAAGGGTATTGATGAACACAATCAGTGATAGTTTTGTGGTTACTATTTCTGAGATTAGTTTAGTAATTCCAGATTTAATCTATTGAATTTAAATTTTATCAGATGCTGTGGTGGGATTTGAACTCATAGACCAAGATCATTAACCAGAGAACTGTATTACTAGTCCTGTGCCATTACCACTACATCACGATCTGTCCCAATGACTTGGCTACTTCACTGGAATGCATGCTAGGGAAACACCTATTCTGCTGAAATGAATAGATCCCTATAAAATGGATTCTACAGAATGTGCAGTCGCGACCAAAACATTAGGAGTAAATGACACCAATAATTCAGCAATGGTACTTAATATTTTATCTGAAGAGAATATACATTGAGGAATTGATATTTTCTGAACGTTTATGTAAGCTATTAGTCTCTTTACCTTGCTTTCCTCCTTTAATAAACACATTAAATCATCCTCTTTGACCAAATTGTGGTTATCTGACTTACTATCTCGTTTTGAGGCTCAGTGTCATCATTTAGATTATAATGCTACTGCAAAGTGCCTTGGGATATTTATTTACACTAAAGGTGCTATGTAAATATAAACTATTGAAACAATCAAAATTGACAGGGAAGGAAATTAGAACTGATGTTGCATATTTTTTTCCAATCTCCTCGTAGCTGACATGAAGTTGAAACATCTGTTTTATTCATATCTTCACATTTTATGCTAATTGTGTAAAGTCACAGAATGAGATTAGTTCTATGTTCAAGATTATTTAATGACAAAGTATCTGAAGTATTTTTATAGAAGTGTTAGTCGTAATACAACATGTAGAAACAACAGTGTTCAGAGTCCTTTGCCAGGTAAAAGTTAACATAACCTGGTCACAGCTGTATTTTTAGCATCAGAATTAAAAACACCAAGGCCTTTAAGTGCTCAGGATTTGTAATGCCAAAGCGGCTTTTTGTTTTGTAATACCTTCTTCTGTCAACAGGTGTCACCAGGGGAATTTCTGCAAAGGTTTTGAAATACTAGAAGAAAGTAGTCATTAGTTATGAAATACATTTATTTGGTTTATATATTAATTTAGCATTTAAAGATAATTAAGGTTCCATTTGGTTATTTGCTAATTTTGCCACTCCTCTTCCCCTGCAAATTTTATTGCATGTGGAGTGATTCTGTGATGTTATGCTCAATGATTGTGTAAGGGTCATTGTTGGTACAGAGGCTTATTGGATCCCTATTCCATTCCAACAATGTCATTATTGTGTAATCATATCAAATAGTGCAACTGGTACTGTTCCAGGAGAAGGAAATAAAAGTTACTGTCTTCTATTCAAATATCTTCCCCATAATTGTTTGGAAATTATATCAGAAAATTGTTGCTTATCAGTAATTCAGTATCCTTAATGTTTGTTGGCTAATTAATACAAGCTGTTACCCCATAATTTTTTTAAAAATCCTCTCGATGAACTACTAACCTCTTCAGAGTTGGGAACTTCTTCCTTCTTTTAAGCAAAATTCAAGATGAAGGGACTGGCCCAAGGATAGATCCAAAATGACAGGTCTGTGTGAGGCAGGAAAATCAAGGAAATTTAAATATTGTTGAAGCATTTTTATGACATTTTATTTCAAAGAGTTTGAAGGTGGGTACACTCTTGAAAATATTTTGCCTTGAACTGAAAGCATAAAACATGTCGATCAAATTGAGGTGGGTCCTCTCAGCTTGCCTTTTGTAGAAAAAAAAGTCATGTGATCATTTTCAGGTAAAGGTTCACATTGACATTTTCAACATATATGGTTCATAGGTCAATTGTGGCTTTAAGAGTCTGGCAGGAAGTTTACACCAACCCGCATAGAAACAATTGTAAACTTTGATCTGATATTTACACATGCACATGAAAGAGAAAGAGCATTTTGAGAAACTTAAAGTCATTCAATAGGACACGATGGCTCAGTGGTTAGCACTGTTGCCTCAAAGCACCAGGGACCCAGCCTTGGGCGACTGTCTGTGTGGAGTTTGCATATTCTCCCTGTATCTGCGTGGGTTTCCGCTGGGTGCTCTGGATTTCCTCCCACAGTCCAAAGATGTGCAGTTTAGATGGATTGCTAAATTGCTCCATAGTGTCCTAGGGTGTGCATGCTAGGTGTATCAGCCATGGTAAATGCGGGGTTACGGGGATAGGGTGGAGTGTGGACCTGGATGGGATGCACTTTGGAGGGTCAGTGCAGACTCAATGCATGGAATGACATCTATCTGCACTGTAGAGATTCTACGATTCATGCAGTTTGTGTTACCTAGCTCACAATTATGTTGCAAGTATGTACTATTCCATCTATAAATGACACAATCCATATTTGTATGGTAGGGTTAAGCTAGTACTCTGATTAAAGTTGCCAACCCTTCTGGATTGTCCGGGAACTAAAGAATTCAAGGAATCAAAAAGAAAAATCATTAAAATAAGGTTACTTTTCATTTCTCTTTATCAGTTATAAAAATATTGATGAATATTTTGTTATGCCTCATGGTTAGTATGCAGTGTACCTTTAAGAGACACACTTGTAATATCAACACTGAATCACGGCATGTGACCTGAAGGTATACAACTCTCAAATTCCATCTTAATTGGGGCCATGAGAAGCATGACATGAAAGTATGCTACTAGCTGTAAATGAATAGCATAATATTAGCTAAAGTGCCTGTGACTGTAAAATTTGTACATATCGGGAGCTGTAGTAATTATCTGTTGAATCTTTCAATGCCACATTACCCACGTCTAATGCATATGTTGTGGGAACTTACAAAACATTACTGCATCAGATAAAATTACCCTGATGAAAGCATAGCCACTACACAGATCAGTGACAGATAAAAGATGCATTGCTGGGACGGCATGTGATAAAACATCTAAGAAAATGCCTCCCATCCTACCAAAGTTGCCATCCCCAGGAATGACATGCAACCAAATCTTGACTGGCAGAGTGTTCGTTTTGTAAGTTGCTTATTATCATCAAGTGCTGGATCTCCCAAGATAACCTAAACACTTCCATGTGCCTGGGCTCCTATCTCACTCCCAGATCCTGCAGAAGGGAGTATTTTCTGAGTCTACTTGCCTTTTCTTCCACTCTGAGGAGACTATGTTTCCTCTTGCCCTTCTGCAATGCCTTTTGTTTTAGCAAGCTCAGTTTCATGCTTTTCATGCTCCGACTTTAATTTGATGTATTTGGGGTTTAGCAAAACAGTGCAGTTAGCACCTGCTTCTACCTCTGTAAAGACAATGGTATAATGATGTTGCTAAGTTGCTGATCCAGAGAATAATCAATCCAGGGACTGAGGTTTGTGCTTCAAACCCCAGTGCACGTTTCTATCTTCAGCTCATATGCCAGTTTGTGCCAGCTACAGTCAGATAATGTAATAGTCCAATCTGTGGAGCAAAGACTTACAGGTGCAGGTATTAGTAAAGATCAAACTAAAGGAAATCCCTCAATATTTCAATGGTTAATGATGACATTCATTTCACAACTATTAATATTTGTCGGAGTCTTATTGTTACTTACCATTAGTCTTCATGTCAGCTGACTGCAAGGGGAAAGCTGCTATTTTTTCCCAGATGAATTCCCTCTGTGAATATACTGAGTCATGCTGTGAAACAGTTCCATCAGCATCAATCACCTTCCAGTAGTCTATCAGTCTGAATAACAAACTATACACCTGCTGGTGTATCACTTCACTTTTTATTTTCATGGGTCCTGAAAGCCAGGAATGATGAGAAATACTCGGCTACTGTCACCCCAGATGTCATCATTTTCATAAGAGAGAAGGAGGAACTGAGGCTTGAGACTTCTCTGTGAGGGACATGAACAGGTCATATGCCTTGATTGAGATCAATGATTTCTCCCAGCTGTGTGGCTCTGTGGCAGTCAGGAATATGCCACTTACCAGCACTGTTCTCTGTAATATGTCTCCACACCGAAGTGTGTGGCAGTCTTAAGGTGACCATGCGAGAAATATAAACAGAAGGCCACCCAAAGCCAACAGTAACTGGAGCGATCACTGAGGACCTGATTTATGGTCAGCGGGCGTTTGCCTTGGTCAGTTAAAACATAGCTTCATAATCAGTGAGAGCCACTGGGGTTACCCTCGATTTGTTTCCAGCAGAGATGAAACCTGCAATCTATTTCCCTCCCCCATCCACTGTTGGACTTGATGGTGTTATGCCAATGGTGAGCATCTCAGAAGTGTTTTTAATGTATGCGAAGCAATATCATTGACGTGATAATTAAGCAACCTCTGACTTGTCCTTGCAGTTGTTTATTTGATTCGTTGGATGGTGAAGTTTCTGGGTGTTGGTGGTCTGGGGGTGGAGAAGATAAATCCAAATACTTAGAACTGCCTGCCCCATTTTCAGATGTCTTGCCTACGCACTGGCACAGGTAGGTATCTGAGAGGGGGATCCCTGGCTGATTTACCCTTTCTGTGAGGAACAGATAATTGGCTCATCACAGTTCTGGGAACGAAACTGTGAGTTTCCTGATCTCTGCGGCTCAGTCTTAAACCAAGTGATGCAGTTACATGTTAAACCATTAAGTGGCAGTCTGTAATGCATTAAACATTCACGGCGTGTTGCACTTGGGAGTTTCTGGTTTACCATTGTGACTGTGACTGATAACAACCATTGCAAATTCCAACAATTTGAAAGAAATATCTGAAATGAGGGCAAAAAGATGTACAAAGTGGGGGAAATTCAGTTCCTTCACCACTGACGCATGGTGGCAACAGTGTGTACCCTCTACAAGATCCATAGCAGTCACTTACCGTAACACCTTCCAAATATGTGAGCTCTACCACCGAGAAGGAAAGGGCAACAGATACATGGGTACACCACCACCTGCAAGTTCCCCTGCAAGGCACACACCATCCTGACTTGCAACTATATCACTGTCACTGGATCTAAACCCTGGAGCTCCCTCCCTAACAGCACTGCACCTCAAGAGAAGGTGGTGGTTTAAAAAAGCAGCTCACCACCACCTTCTCAAGGGCAGGTAGAGATGGGCAACAAATGCTGGCCTAGCTAGCAAAGCTCGCATCCCATGACCAAGTTTTTAAAAAAAATTCTGTCAATTGGCTGAAACAAGTTATCATTTGCCACCTTACTGAATGCAAGAATGTTGCTGGTCACGAAAGGTCGTGATCCAGGGACTGGTGTGAGTGAGAAGGCCAGACTCTGCATGGGAATTTGGTGGGACAATAGAAGACAATTTGACCCTCAGATGTGCAGCAAAAGCTAGCATGAGGAAACAAGTGCTGCAGCACCATCCATCTTGTTACATGTCTATTTGAATTTATTATGTTAACACAAGCCAATGTTTAACATGTCATCATGACTGCATGACCCAGCGCTGGAATTTTGAGAGGCAGAACTTTGTTATATGTGCAGTAAAAATTATAGGACCGGACAAAGGGAACATGAGGAGTGGATTGGGGAGAGATAGGTAACCCTTATGAACCAGTTCTATTTCAACCACCGATTCACACTTATTTGCAAAAATAGAAGAAGACAATATATTATTTCATTATAATTCTGAGTAGGAGTTTGCTGTGACAGTTACAGAAAGGAAATCTTCCACCTGAAGGGATTGAGCAAAAATTACATTTTCAATTGATGCAATAACCGATAAAGCACTTTATCAAAGCTACAAAATCACCAGGTAAATAAAGACAGTGAATACATTTTGGATAATCTTAAGAAAGAAAGTGCTTATCATGACTGCAGGATATTCAAAACTTTCTTCATTATGTAAAGACTGTATTGCAGTGATTGTAACAAGGTCAGCCAGCTGGATGTAAAAGAATATGATTTTCCTGATTGGGGCTGTCAATCTGTTCCAAACAGGCAGCCCTGGCTGACATATAAAAAGGTTTAATGTCAGAGATACAGCCAATCCAGTGCCTGACTCTGTATGAGGCAGTACTATAGTCAGGCACTGTTTACGTGTAATTAAAGGGTGACTTGGTGATGGGATACCAGCCTCTGTGGAGTTATTTCATGATTTTTGATTTTGTACTGAAATATTTTTAATTGTGTACTGAAATAGGAAAAGGATTGCTTTTAAGCCAAGGATTGTGAAAAAAAAAGTTGCAAGTTTTAAAATTCGAAGTTACCAACTCTTATTGTAAGGAGTGTTTACACTGCTGTTTGTTCAAGCGGTGAGGGAAGTTACTATAGATGAGGGGGAGGGGATTGTACATGAAGTGAAACTCGGCTAGCAACAGGTAACTGGCTAGTCACTTGAATGGTGACCAGTTCTTGATGACTAAAGCCTTCTGCCTGCCAACATCTATGTGATTGGCTTCCCAGTTAGCTGAACAGCGTGTGGGTGTGAGTGTTTGTTCAGAAGCAGTCAGACATCTTAAAAAGAAGCAGCCGTCTTTTCCTTGGTAGTCAAAAAACACCTCAGGCAAAAGAAAGCCAGTTTATTTCTCCTTATCAGTTGCTATAAGCTGCGTCATTTAACCAATTAGTCTGAGATTTTATAAGAGTGAACCAGTCACCCTGTGCCTCTTGC